TGAACTCTTGGAGAGACTTCTGCCTTGCCACAAAATGCCTCGCGACCGTCTTGAGACACCCGAAAATTGCCAGCAACTTCTCTTCCACATGCTTTGGGCGCAGCTCTCTCAGACGCACACAGTCATACAGACGCCACCGCCAACTCAAACACCATTCAAGCTCATCCCGATCTCTTTCTTCTCTTCCAAAGTGGTTTGTATCTTCTCTGGCGCTCTGCCTTAGCGGTGGGTCTGTGTCCGCCATCTTAGCCATCCTTGGTTCTCTGTCCTCTTCATTGCCACAGCTCCTTCATCATCAGGGCGCCACGGTGGCGAGATGTTAACTACCTCGCCTGGTATACAGGAGGTCGTGGGTTTGAGCTTGACTCTGACGCCTGCTGTAAATTTGGAGTCTGCGTGTTCTCCGTGGTCGCGTGGATTTTTCTCCGGGTCCCCTTCCCCCGCTCTTTCCCTCCACATTTATGAACATGCATTTTAAGAGTATTTGGCTGCTATAAATGTCTACGTGATAAGCCACTTCAGTTGAGCTATCATATGTGGACAGGTCGCTTCTGAAAAAGAGCTACATAGCTCAGTGGGCCTTATCTGGTGAAATTAAAAACTATAGTTTATTATCCCCCACCCCTCCCAAGCATTGGCCTTCCCCTCGTAGCCTATCGGAGACCAGTCTTGCAAAAAAAATCCGCTTCTCTCAATAAAGCTGCTCACCGAAGCTGCTCTGCACGACTTCCTGGGCCCTGCGAGAGAGGCCAATCTCGCAGGCTCCTGGGATGGTCCCCCCCCCAACCCACTTCCTGTGAATCGTCACCCTCCCGTGTCCTTGGCTTTGCCTCCCTGCGAGGATTCTCTCAAATCGCACGGTGGGCGAAAGTTCTGTAGCGTGCTTTTTAGTTTTGCCCCTCGTGGGTTTTGGGTAAACTTTGTGTTCGTGTCACAGCGAGCCGGGCAAGTGGCAACCCGTGTGTGTGTGTGGGAGGAGGAGGGGGGAGCGACTCGGGTTGCCGGGAACACCTCTGGGTAACGGAATTGTCGCCGGAGAGTGAGCCGGTGGTCGCCCCCTGAAACGTGTTCGTTTTTCTGGTGAAGATGAAGACTGCCACAAATAACAGACACGAAGAGGGAGGAGGGGGGAGATGCATTTTACTTGAAGTGAAGGCTGTGCGTTCCCTACAAACGTTGCCACGTCTTGCTCAAAACACGCATCTCGTGTTGCGTTATAACCCGTTGCCTGGTGTTGCCATCCGTGTGTTTCCTCAAGCTCGCTAGGGCAGGGCGTGGGGGACCCTATGACCTGAGATTCCATTTCATACAAAACCGTGGCACACACGAGGCCTACCACTCCAAAAACAACCGGCAAACGATACGTGTGTATGCACGTACGTACGCTGGACTTCTTTCGCGCCGTACGTAGCCAACCGCGCTAATCGGAGGACAACACTAAACACAAGAAGCGGGTTCTGAAGAAATTAGTTTTCAATCTTCGATTATATCCACGACTTGCTGCAAGCATGTTTAGCCGCACACATCGGGCGGCAGGCAGGATGGCACAGCAGTGGGTGACACCCGGTACCTCGCAGCACGAAGCGCCCGAGTTCGATTCCCGAACTAGCGCTTTTCTGCGCGGAGCTGGTTATGCTCTGCCCTTATAAATAATGCGTTTCCTCCCACGGCTAATAAAACAAACGATCTAAATGCAACTGGCGTTGGCCATACATCCCATGGCTGAATAATGCAACTTGCAAATCGCTCAATTGGGATGGCACACAGCAACATTTGCCCTCTCACCCACCCACCTCGCCCACTCACCACCTCTTAAAAAGTCTTGAGATTCCGTGAAGCCTACCCGAGCGAAAAATGTCACGATAACTAATCGTGTGTACAGGATGGTGGTGGGTGAGTGGGGTTATCGTCGACCTAGAAGGGCGGTTTAATGCGCGCGTGCGTGCTCGTGTTCAGTAATTGAAGACAGTCGAAAGTCCTGCTCGGCCCTCCTAAGTCAAAGAGGATGGAGAGGGTCGGGAAGGGGGTCCCCCGCCCATGCCGTAAGGAGCTGGGAAGCTGAGAGAGAGGAGAAGAGGGAGCGTTGTTTGTGAAATGCCTCGGAAATTTGCTGCGTGTTGTTTGCTGCGTTACTCAGGAGGGCGGGACGAAGGCTCCCCCTGGCATGCAGGACGGTGTTCGCTGACGACTGTAGCTGTAGTTGGATGTGTTTTGTTGGGTGAAGTATAACCGAGATGGAGAAAGGGGAGTCGTAGGTTGCGACGGTGTGTGTTTTAGTATGGCCCAGGGTTTCGGTATAACCGATTTTGATTATGGAATACTTTTGTCCTGTTATAGTGTAGCAAAGGGGGGGGGGGGGGGGGTTGGTGATGGTGGGGGAGAACGAAAACATTTAAAGGAAAAATAAAAAAACTTGCCCTCAATAAACCCGATATTTCAAAGTACGCTTCGTGTTGCTGCTGTGCATGGATGTGTCTCTGCGGTGGCCGGGCGTGCCGTGAATGCGAATTCGTGCTCAGCGGTGACCCCCGCCGTGTGCAAGGGTCACCGTGGGAAGGGGGAGGAGTCACCTTCGACTCCCCCCTCCCGGTGATTGGTGGAGGCGTTCAAACCAAACGCGTCCGCCTCGCCCACGGCTCGAGGCAGCGTGTGTACACGGGGGAGCGGTGGTGCAGCGGTTGGCGCACTTGAACGATGAGCATTGGTTTCGCCCGAGTTCGATTCCCGCTCACGGCCAACATCGGCGATGTTGAGCTCAAACCTCGTCCTCTGCCGCCTTAATTGAGCATCTCGAATGGTTTGCGAACACCACCGAGATGGGGTAACCACCCCACCGCTAGGTAGATGGGTAACCACACCACCACTAGGGAGATGGGGTAACCACACCACCACTAGGGAGATGGGGTAACCACACCACCGCTAGGTAGATGGGTAACCACACCACCACTATGGAGATGGGGTAACCACACCGCCACTAGGGAGATGGGGTAACCACACCACCACTGGAGCGCCGTGACGGTCTTCATCGGTGCTGGCTGACATCGTTCGTGAGGGGTATCGAGTGGTGGTCGTTGTTGGGGATCGGTTTGCAGAGTCATTGGCGCACTTTGCCACGATTCCAGCCAAACCTGGCTTGGGGCCCCCTGAAAAAATTGTCTCGGTCTAAAACGAGCAACGCTTGCAAAGGAAGCTCTGATTGGATATTATTGTGGAAGTTTGCTACCTTTTCGCCAGCCATTTGAAATCTGATCGTCGATACCGTCCACCGATGTGCCCCTTTTGCAAGGCAGCCGTCGCTCTAGAGCACGTGTTTAAAACAGGCGCGCACACGAGCAATTACTGGATTGATGGGGGGAAATTCGGAGCAAATCGTCGGTGACCCGTCAACAAAGGAGCGCACGGTGGGACCCCGAGAATCAGAATCGTGAAAACCGCCACGAAATCCACTGGCCGTGAATGACCGCAGGACCTGGGATGACATCAAACCGAATTTGCGTTCTCGTTAAACGGAATTAACGATACGTGACCTTTCTAGCCAGTATCGAAATATAAGAATAAGTTTTACCCTTTCTGATAATAAAACAGGTGTCAAGGTCAATGGCGGAGCTAGGACTTTCAGGTAGGGAGGGGCAACCCCTCCAGCAATGAAAAATGATAGGAGTTGTTAGTAAGTAAGGAGTTGTTAGTAAGTAAGGACTTGTCCATTGCTTTTATTCGACCCGTGTGCGGCGATGGCGCAGCCATCGATCGAGGGTCGAATTCGAACCGCGTTGTGTGATCGGCATCGCGCTCGCTGAAGGTGTTGATGCCTTCAGGGAAGTCGTGTGCTGTATACGCAACTGCGCACAATTTTGTGAGTCACTTATAACTGCTTTGCCGTTAGTTATTGCAAATTATGGACTCAGACTATTGTCCTCTCATCTCAGAGTCCCTGGCGCGTAATAACATGCTACAGTGGCAGTGGGGGTCGCAAAATGCCGCTTTATTACTAATCAACCCCAATGATCCGATCGAAATTAGGGATTCCAAATCTGGCATCAGTTTTTGTCTATCACATCAGGTTTTGAGATATCAAATATTGCATTTTCAATAAAAACTGCAGAAGAAAAATATTAAATGTGGATATCTACATAAAATGATATTATAAACACACTATCCTAAAAATACAGCACCATATTTTAACACTAAAGCAGTCACTGCCTCGCAACAACTTGCAATCATAAGTGACAGAGTTAATTTCGGGTAAATCAATGAAAATGGGGTATGCCGATAGCATAAAAATGAGATGTGATAGAGCAAATCTGAGATCAGATTTGGAATCAGCACCCTGAAATTAGTCTAAAACAGCTGCAAAAGTCCAGGCCAGAAAAAAATGTGTTTTTTTCGTTGACCAGTGTAATATTCCATTCCTTGGCTGCTGCCTCCGCCGCCTCTCTCATTACTCGACCACTTGACCATCAGCCCTCGCTCCTGCCAGCGACGCGTCCTCCATACGCCGACTTTTATTAACGGTTCGAATGGTGCCGTAATCGATGGTTACATCGCTCCGTATCTGTAAGTTCAACAATACAAATGCACTAGCAGTGTTATTCCAATCCCGCTCCTCCAGAGATCACGGTTTGGCTACGTACGGTGCGAAGGAAGTTCAACGTACCGTATCATCATACGGATCCGCAGCAGTCATCCTCCACTGCTTGTCACGCCGTCGATTGCCATATGTCCGATAGCACGATTAAGAATAACAATAATGGTGTACAGCCAATATCCATCCACTGCTGGACGAAGGCCTCCCCACACCCTGTCGGTCACCGGGGTTGTTTGACCATACTTCACCGCGCCGGTTGCCGACGCGGAGCGCCCAGAACCGGGTTCAGCCGTCGGTTCGGCTGGTCCACTGCGCAGTGCGCTAACCACTGCGCCACCGCTCCACCCCCACGGACGGGGGCATACAGCAATTGGGGTGATTTTCGTGTGTTTTAAACGAGGCGTAAGCAACAGGCGAGCGAATTAAATATGTTTATTCCGATTACTTCGTGATAACGAGATCGCACCGAATCGTCAGTCCCTGCTGCAGTCCACATGCCCCAGCAATGGCACTTGTGTTTATTTACAAGTCGCGTGCAACGCCAGGGGTCTCTCTCTCCTCACCAGAGGTCTCTCTCATCACCAGGGATCTCTCTCCTGGGGTCTCTCTCTCTCATCACCAGGGTTCTGTCTTTCTCATCACCCGGGGTCTCTCTCTCCTCACTCAGGGTCTCTCTCCTCACCCGGGTCTCTCTCCTGCGGTCTCTCTCCCTCCTCACCCGGTGTCTCTCCCCTCACCCGGGGTCTCTCTCTCTCATCACCAGGGGTCTGTCTTTCTCATCACCAGGGGTCTTGTCTTTCTCATCACCCGGGGTCTGTCTCCCTCCTCACCCGGGTCTCTCTCTCATCACCAGGGGTCTGTCTCTCCCCTCACCCGGGGTCTCTCTCCCTCCTCACCCGGGTCTCTCTCCTGATTCGGGGTCTCTCTCCTCACCCGGCACACCACGTCCATGGCCGTGGCTTCTACGGTTCGTCATGCGCCACCTATTCCAGTCTGTCAGCGACCCCGATTATACAGGGCGCTTCAAAAAAATTGTTCTGAATTTGCAACAATAGCACGAGGAATGTGCTGTCTCCGGGCTCTGGAGACCACCTGGAGAAGATTCCAGGCCAAGCGTTGACAACGATGGCGAACAGGTGGGAGACACTCCGACTTTGTGAAGCTATGAACATTACATTTGTTATCATGTTACAGTGTATTATTCTGCGTTCTTTTTCCATTAAAAAAAAACGTTAGTCCCGTATAAGCGCTAACATTTTTTTTGAAGCACATTCCGGGCATCTAATTTTACCTTTCACCATGTCCCGCAGCTACACCGCACTGCGATCTGCCACGGACTTCGAATGTGTTTCCACACGCGGCACACCACATCCAGTATTCCTCTGTCGCTGGGGCCGTGGCTCCCTACTACGACTCATCGGCCTACTACACCACAACTGCTACTAGCACGGTTGGCTACGTGCGGTGCGAAAGAAGTTCAACGTACATACGGCACATACATACATCCATACTGCAGAATCTGGGGAGGTATTCCGTTAGAAATCAAGCCCTGCACAGAGACCTCCCCTCCGCAATGAGATCGCTCCGTTAGTTTCACCCATAATAAATACCGACATGCGAACGACACAATTTCGTGTTAAATTATTATTACTATTATTATTATAATTCCCTCGCGTACAGAGAACTCATCAGTTTATTCCGATCCCTTTCATCATGAGCTCGCCTCCCGTATTTCTCGGGGTTGAGACGGAACGCGTGACCCCCCCCCCCCCCCCGCGTGTCAATGCAGCGGTTAGGAGCCGCGTCTTACAAAGCAGTCGGTGTGTTGGCGTGTGTGTGTTGGCGGTGTGTGTGTGCATGTATGTGTGTGTTGGCGTGTGTGTTGGCGTGTGTGTGCCTGTGGGGAGCGGTGGCGCAGTGGTTAGCGCGCTGTGCTACGAACCCGGCGACCCGAGTTCGATTCCTACTCACGGCTAACACCAGTGACGATTATCTGAACCGGTCCTGGGCCTCCCCGAGATCGACTCAGCCTCAAATGAGTACCTGGTGTGGTGTATAAACATCGCCTCGAGGGAGACAAAGGCGGCCGGGCGTCGTGTTAGCCACCCACCCCCTCGTGTGCCGTGCCGGCCTTCATAGGTGCTCGCTAACAGCACTTGCCCCTACAGTCTGTTAAGGCTAAACGGGGCGTCTTTGTGTGTGTGCGCTGGCGCGCATCTGCCAGTCCTCTCAGTCAATTCATGGCACCTGGATCTGTCCCGTGACCGCCTGCCGGCGGGTGTTCAACACTCACGTGGCCTTAAATTGCACTTAGCCTGGCACAAGCACCCTGGTGACGTCACCGACACTTAGTGGCGAATGGCAATTGTTGGCGTGTGTGCGTCAGAACCTTCATAGGTGCTCGTCATATCACTTTCCCCAACAGTCTGTTAAGGTTATATGGGGATCTTTATATTTTTTGCGTGTGCCTGTTCGTGTCTCTTGTGTGCGTGTGTGTGTTAGTATCTTGGTCCGTGCGCGCTCGTGTACGTCTGTGCGCGTCTGTTAACGCGTGCGTGCGAGACCAGATTGACGTGACCGTATTTGGCACCTGGGTGCACGTTTGGCGCGAGCCACCCGGAGGTCGTCTCGTGAACCCGGAGAACGCCGCGAAACAGTTTCCAGCGTCGGGCGCCTGCGGGCCACGTGCCGCGGAGCGAGCGGAACGCGTGGAGCGAGCGGAGCGCATGGAGCGAGCGGTGGTGTGGTGGCTTTACCCCACCGGCGATGACCAGGCACGGGGAACCACCGGCGAGAGGGGCCGTCGCGCCGTCCGTAACGGCCACGTGGCCACCGGTGCCGTTTGACGTTGTCCAAGGAGGCGGCATATTGTGCGCCAAGCTTCATCGTCGCCGGCCGGCCGCGCTCTATCCCCACTGCTGGGTTGAAGGCCTCCCCCGTGTCCATTGGCACTTCTCACGGCCGCGCGATCTACGGCAATACTCTGGCGTAGCACCTCCAGCGGCCAGACCGTCCGTCCTGGCCAAGCCGCGTTTTAACTTGACAGCCAACAGGACGCCGCTAGCCTGCGAGCTGGCTCCAACCAAACCGGTCCTCTTCCCGGTCCCCTTCCCGTCCCTCGGTACAATCCCGGGCACGCAAATCCTCTCCAAGCGAACCTTTGGGATTTTTCCTTTGTGCGGAATAAAGCCCATGGGTTTTCCCGATGAGCGCACGCGCGTGCGCACACGCGTGTCAACCGCTGCACGGACGGGAAGACCCGACTCGGCGCCGCATCGTCGCCCGCCACGGCCGACAAAGGCAGCACCGCTCGACGGCAAAGCATCGTGACAACGCGGTCCCCCCGCCCCCCAGAGGTTCGGCGTGCATATAACCGCAGTGGCACGCGTCGGGAGACGCGTTCAAACACAACAAAAAAAACTCGGGCACGGCGGGAGTTCACGACCCGTTCACGGCCAGCGATCGCACTCGACGAACGACAGCGAGATGAGAGGCGAGAACCCGTAAACTGCATTGCATTGTGGACGTCGTAATACGGCCTTCTCTCCCAGGGCAATGGCTTCCTCCTGGAGTTTTCTTTTTCTCTCTCAGTGCAGCGTTCCCTCGTTATTCGCGAAGTCGCTACCCGCGGTTTTGGCTGCGCGCGAATCGCATCTTGAACCCTGCCCGACTGCATCGAGGGACAAAGATGGAGAAAGAAAGCGATGATAAATAAAGTGATGAGATAGTGATGAGATATAAAGTGATGAGAGAATGTGATGAGAAAGACGGAGAGAATTTCTGGAAGCCTTAGAAGCACCTGCGGACGTTGCGAGTACCATATTCCAATACCGTAATCCGCGAAAGGCGCTAATCACGAGCATCTCCGGAACCTATCCACCGCGAATAACGAGGGAACACCGTCGTCAATTCTTGATCATCTGCAGGAAGCATTAAATTCCAAACATGCAGTGTGGCGCACTGGTAACACTCGTGCCTCACAGAAAGAACGCTGCTGGGTTCGACTCCCGACTCGGGTTTCTCCTCCAGGTTCTCCGGCAGGTTCTCCGGCATCCCCCCCGATGGCGAAACACGGAACGGTGTTCATCCGCGAAGGCCGAAGATCCCAATGCCCAACGTGGGACCCCTCCTCCCCCCCCCCCCTCCTGAAAACACGAGCGCCTTCAGACTCGGTGCTCGCACCTGTCTTGTTTCCATTGCATCCCTCCTAAGTAAGCGGGTCGACTCGCCCGCCCACGTGTTTGCGCCCACGTGTTTGCGGTCACGTGGGTGCCGACCCACGTGCCCTCGGCGAGTGAGAGGGCAGCACCGCGATTAAACTAACGGGGGGGGGGGGCCCGTACAAAATAAATGTTCAGTGTTGCTTACCGGCAAGCATTGTTTATAACCTGCAAAACGTGGGGAAAATCGCAGTTGACTCGATATGCAAAGACAAAGACCCCCCCCCCCGCCGCCCGTGTAACCATGCATGCCGCTGTGAGCGAGCGCCTTATTAAGGCCGGCCCGGTCGCACGAGCCGGATGGTGCGGCTGGAAAAAAAAAACCCCTTAGTCTCAAAACGTAACGCTCGTGCACCACGCCACTGCACCCGGTCGCTACTCATTTGAGGCCGAGTTCACTTAAGGGAAGCCCAAACCGAGTGCTCGAGTCCGACTGGCCGCCAAACGATGGCAAGTGGCGGGGCGGTGTTCGTGCCGCCCCGGGGAGTTGCAACCTGGTGGCCGAGTTCGTGCTCCGTAACTTCTCCGCCACACTCGGACGCCGTCCCCATTTCGCCTTTCACGTGGCACTTGGGGCAAGCGACGTTAGGGGGGGGGGGGCACCTACACGAGGGGGGGGGGGTGGTGTGGCCCCGGAGGAAAAAAAAACATCCCTGGTCGCCTTTGTCTCCCCAGCGTTGGTGTGGTTGTAAACACCGCACGAGGTACTCATTTAAGGCTGAATCGACCTGGGACCGGTTCAGATATCACCCGTTACTTATATTAGCCATGGCCGGTAATTAAACTCGGGTCGCCGGGATTGTAGCGCAGTGCGCTAATCACAGCGCCACCGTTCCCTCTGCAAATTCACCGACCACGACGTATTTGTGACAGTTGCTGACCGCATCAGATCACAGGGTTCTGAAGGAAATCTATCTTGTTTCATCGCTGCGTATGTGTGCGTGTGTGCGTGGGTGAGTGTGTGTGTGTGGGGAGCGGTGGTGTAGCGGTTAGCGCACTGCGCTATGAACATGGCGACACGGGTTCGATTCCCGCTTGCAGCCGAACACCGTTGACGATTATCTGAACCGGTCCTGGGCCTCCCCTAGGTCGACTAAGCCTCAAATGAGTACCTGGTGCAGTGTGTCAGCTTCGTCACTCGGGAGACAAAGGCGGCCGGGCGTGGTGCTGGCCACCCACCCCCTCGTGTACTGTTCCGGCCTTCATAGGTGCTCGCAACAGCACTTGCCCCTACAGTCTGTTAAGGCTATACGGGGGGTCTTTGTCTTTGTGTGTGTGTGTGTGTGTGCGGGTGAGTGCATTGGCCGTGTGTTTTTAGCGGGCCAGTTGTTGCGTTGCGTGTGCCGGGATCGTAGCGCGGCGTGCGACATGGCCAAGGCAAAGGTCCCCCCCCCCAACCCCCTCGCTCCACCCCATAGCCTGAACAGGCTGCTGGGGCGAGTGCTGTTGGCGAGCTCCTCCCATACCGATGTTTACACAGCCGCGACAAGGAACTCACGTTTAAGGCCGAGTCGACCTAGAGGAGGGGCCCGTGGCACTTTCAGATAATCACCGTCGTCACAGGTCATGGCCGGGAATCGAACTCGGGCGACGCCGGCTTCGTAGTGCAGTGCGCCCACAACTGCGCCTCCGCTCCCCGCGCACGCACACGCACGTGCACGGACGCACGCGCACGGACGCACGCGTCGCATCAGTCGATCTTTTTGGTCGGCGGTCGGAAGACTGCGGAGGCCATGCGGAGCGCCGGCTCCAAGGCCCTGGAGGCCACGGTGACGGCCTTGCCGTGCAGCAGGACCAGCGCCGTTTGGTGGAACAGCGCGCACAGGCGGTACCAGCGTCCGTAGAATGGGTCGGACACGGCGGGGCACAGCATGTTGTTGAGGTTCACCTGCGTCAGCTGGGGCGGCAGAGGCGCGGACGAGGGAGAGAGACGCCGCAACGTTTTGTTTGTTTGTGCGTTGAACTGCTTTCGCACCGCGCGTGGCGAACCGCGCTGATCAGAGGTCCCACCGGGACACGCAAGCGACGGAGATCCACCGTGCAGCAGCCGGCACGCGCCGTCTGGGGGCACGCGCCGTTGGCGAGCGATTACGAAGGCCGGCACGGCGGCGGCGGTCGGCGCCACCCGCCCGGCCGCCTTTGTGTCTCCTTAGTGGCGGTGTTTTTACACACCGCACCAGGTACTCATTTGAGGCTGCGTCGACCTAGGGGAGGCCCAGGAACGGGTTCTAATATTCGTCCCCGATGTTATTACGATAATAATAATTAATACGTCGTTGTGACCGTCGTTGTTATAACGACGACTCGCCAGAGCGACATGTACTCGGGCATGAACCACGACCGTAGACTAACAAATTTCCCCAAGAGGGAAACCACCGGGCAACAGGAAACCCGGGAGACCCGACACCGCGCTGACGGCAGCGGTCAGCCCCTCTTGCGGCGAGGCTCGACACGTCAACAAGCGCAGGGAAGCAGCGGCGGGAGCTCGTTGCGTTCCATTCGGGGAGGAAGAGGATCACGCGCCGGGCGACTCACCAGGGCGAGCGCCTGCAGCACGGTGAAGTGGTAGAAGAAGAGGAGGCCCGTGGCCAGCAGCGCCCACCACGGGTTCCCCAGCGGCTCCGGCGCGTACGCCCCCCCTGCGCACGCACACACGCACACACACGCACACACATGCACACACACGCATACACACACGCACACACGCACACACACACACACGCATACACACACGCACACGCATACACACACGCACACACACACACACGCACACACGCACACGCACACACATACACACACGCATACACACACGCACACACACACGCACGCACACGCACAGGCACACGCACACACGCACACACACAGGCACACACACACGCACACACACACACACACGCACGCACACACGCACACACACAGGCACACGCACGCGCACACACACACACACACGCACACACGCACGCACACACGCACACACACACGGGAGGTCCCCCATGGAAACGTCACAAACCAGAGCCCGTGCCCGAGGGTGCACGCCGAATCGGGGGGCGACTGCCCCGGGCCCTGCACTTTGGGGGGGGGGGGGCCCGCGCTTCGATGTCACGGCGTCAGATGTCGTGTTTCCCCGGTGTACCATTCCGGCCTTCATAGGTGCTCGTTAATAACACTTGCCCCAATAGTCTAAAGGCTCGATTTAAAGCTTTCGTGACTGCAGGGATTCATCTTCTTGGTTCTTTCGGTAAAGTCACGTAGAAGGGAAGTAATAAAATAATAAAAATAAGACATAATAAAATAATTCTCACGACGTTTCGGCCACAATGCAAGCAGCCGTCCTCAGGTGAAGACCAGGTCTGTCGGGGAGACCTGTTCTTCACCTGAGGACGACTGCTTGCGTTGTGGCCGAAACGTCGTGAGAATTATTTTATTGTTTTATTTTTATTATTTTATTATTTCCCTTCTACGTGACTTTACCGAAAGAACCAAGAAGATGAGTCTTAAGGCTATACAGGGGATCTTTTTATTTGTGTGTGTGTGTGCATGGGCAATGAATGTGTTGGTAAAAATGCAGACGTAAGTAACACTGCTTTACAGAAGATTATTCTATAGGGATCCTCTGCTTATCCAGTCCGGCCTTCCTACGTTTACCGATTGATTCACAAGCTCTTATCTGTGTGTGCCCTACCCCTTACACCAACTCACACCCGCAACACACGCGGAACGATCATCGTCACCATCATCATCTAAGCTGGCGAGTCATTTATGTCAATCTACATACTCTGGCTTCATCACTATTATTATTACTGTTAACATCATCTCTGTGGGAGAGTCATCATCATCAACCAACTTTGTCATCATCATCTTGGGTTGGCACCCGTCCCGGTTTTGACCCGGTACATTCTAGGACGTGGCACTTGTGTTCGGGTGGCAGCAGGCCTCACTCCGTATGGAGATCTGGTACCGGTTTTGCTGCGTTCGACTCTTACAGGAGACCGTGTGCTGAGAAATATGTCCAGGTTTGAGTCTGCAGTGGAATAAGTGGCAACCCTCTCATCATAATCAGCAGCAGCACCACAATCGGCGATCTCGTCTGAAATTCTACGCAGGGATCAGTTTTGGACCCACTTCTTGATGACGTCAGGAGATTTTTACTATTTGAACAATTTTTTTTTATTGAGCTATGTAGCTCTTTTTTTAAGAAGCGACCACAAATGATAGCTAAACTTAGTGGGCTTGGCATCACGTGACAATTTATGGAAGCCAAATACACTGAACGCGTGATGTCGATTCTAAATGCGGAGGGGAAAAAAACGGACGACCCGGAGAAAAATCCACGCGACCACGGGGCGAGAGAACACGCAAACTCCAAATATACAGCAGCAGGCATCAGCATCGAAATCGTACCCACGACCTCCTGCATACCAGGCGAGGGAGTTAACATCTCACCGCCGCGGCACCCAGAGAGCAGTAGGTGGGTGCACGATGTCCTGCGCTGCCGTGTAACTAAAAACTTTAAAAAATGCATCAGTTTCCCAGGCCTGCTTTGCATGTATCCAGGGCAAAATGCTCGACGCAAAAATAGATTTGGCTGAATGAAACCGTGTGGCTAATATGGGATTACGAGATTGGGATGAGCGTGGGAATGCATTTGCGTGTGGATGCACGTCTCTCTGCACCACGGCACCGTGTGTTTATTCATAAAATAAGCCGGGAAGAGAATTATACGGAGTCTCAAGACACTGCTGAGATAATTAACCCTTTCTCCGTTCCGATGACGTATGCGTACATCATCAGTTTTTTCTTCCGATTTTGTTCCGATGACGTGTGTACGTGTACCTGGTACACAAGTACACGTCATCGAAACTGGAAGAAAAACTAAAATAAAATAACATCATCGGTACCGAGGATTTCACAAGGCCATGCGTGAGGGCGTGTGGTACAGTTTGGCGCTATCCATCGTAGAGTGCGGTCGTGTCGGTACAGTTCTCTGCAGGGAGTAACAAGTGCTGAAGAGCAGGTAAAATTTTTATTTTAAATGACAATGCAAGTAACTCAATTAGGAAACACGTAGGACCCTCCTGCCAGACTCAGCGAGGCCTCCCTGTGGGTGCGAGCGACCGCAACTCTAACGGCAATCGTGCTGTGGGTTGGGGCGACGATCGCCGTGCGCCACTCACCTCCCGAGCGAAGCAGATAGAGAGGCACGATGTACATCATGATGTGCTGGATGTAGTAGATCTCCGTCTCAAACGGCAGCTGCAGATGATGGCAACGAGAAAAGAAAATCACGCTAAACTCACAGATTCTGGAAACACTTTCCCTCTGTGCGCTCTGTCCTTCGGAAGTATTTTAATCGGCAGTACGGAAGACGGAAGACGTGGCTGTCAGGGCAAAAAACGCGTGTGCGAGAACACACACACACACTCCACACAGCAGGGGCACCCACGTCAGGACTGCAACCCAGGCCCCTTGTTGCTGCGAGGCGCCAGCGTTACCGCTTCGCCCCAAACAACATCGGGAACGCCCTGCCAACGGACGTCGGAAATGCGCCGAGCATTTCTCAATTCCGTGCTGCGTGCACAACGCGCCAACTTCTCGCCTTCCTATACAATCTAACATTTAAGAAGGGGGGAAGGGGGAAAACAGTTTCTTAATTTATAATTTTTTGCTACTTTTGACCAGGTAAGGCCCCACCGAGCTATGTAGCTCTTTTTCCATAAGCGACCACAAATGATAGCTAAACGAAGTGGGCTTGCTTATCATCGCGTGGAAATTTATGGCAGGCAAATACGCTGAACGCGTGATGTCGATTCTAAATGGGCTGGGAAAACCCCGAGAACCCAGAGAAAAATCCACACGACCCACGAGAGACATCGCAAACTCCAAATATACAGCAGGCGTCAGAGTCGGGATTGAACCCACAACCTCCTGCGTACCAGACGAGGTAGTTTACATCTCGCCGCCGTGACACCCGCACTTTTCTTATGCTGTTTGTTTCCCACGGTCGCACTTTATTTTCACGAGCAAATGCCATGTCCTCTGCTCAAGTCGGTGTTAGCCGCTGAGGGCGCGTGATGGGTTTATTCTCTCATTCCGGTTTGCTCTGTGCCCTCCGGTACCGTTCCCGCTTCCGCTGTAATGTGCACCGATGCACTACTTTATTGAGGTGTCCAATACCACGCCTGCCCACCCGCCTTTGTCTCCCCAGTGGCGATGTTTAAACACCGCACCAGGCACTCATTTGAGGCCGAGTTGACCTAGGGTAGACCCATGACCGGTCCAGATAATCGTCACTGGTTATGGTGGCCGTGAGCGGGCATCGAACTCGGGTGGCCGGGTTCGTAGCGCAGCGTAGCGCTAACCGCTGCACCACCGACGTTGGCACGGACAATCGAGGTTTATTGGCCCTGCCACCCCACTGTCGCCCGCAACACAAAGCAAAAAAACAACAACATTCGATTCGGTTTAACCTTGAGATTGATCGAAGGAACCCCTCCCCCATATACATATTCAGTAATGTTTTCACGTCGAACTCGGTCACAACATTCTGACAGAGGCAGTGGGCTGCTTGAGTCTCTCCAGCATCAGCCGCCTCGGCACCGTCTTACCAAAAGACGATCTTCTCCCTGGAGCCTGACGATTTCTCCTGCCGGAGCTGCCACCAACGCTGTTGCCCCCCGCTAGGTGGCCACACTCATCAACATCACAGAGTCCAACACGCAGGAGGACCGAGCGTGCCGCCGTCAAGGCTGCTGGCATCACCCTCCCCCCACCACGTGACGAGAGGGTCACACAACGTTGCCACGTGTTGGATTGTCAGTGGAACCGAACCGTTCATATTTCACACTCGTCCTCTCCGAGCCGCGTGTGTACGTGCGTGCGCGCGCGTTCATGCCACAATCGTTGCGAATGCCGTAGTCGAGCTCCGTTTAAGTTCTGGGGCTGTCCGACACGGTTCGTTTTACAAGCGTCTGTGACGGGATCATTGTTTGCGGCAAGTTGTGGCGTGCCATTTGTGTAAACCAAATTGTTGTTTTGTGCACAGTGCCACCGCCCTGCGACGTCGTCAAACCGGGGCTGTGGTCATCCTCATAACAGGCCCAGCTCAATGGGGCCTCGCCAGCCGAATTAATAGAGCCTCAGTCTATGAATCTCTATGCAACTCTGTAGATCTCCATGTAACTCTGTGGATCTCCATGTAACTCTGTGGATCTCTATGTAACTCTGTGGATCTCTATGTATCTTTATGGATCTCTATGCAACTGTGGATCTCTATGTATGTTTATGGATCTCCATGTAACTCTGTGGATCTCCATGTGACTCTGTGGATCTCTATGTAACTGTGGATCTCTATGTATCTCTATGTAACTGTGTATCTCTATGTAACTGTGGATCTCTATGTAACTGTGGATCTCTATGCAACTGTGGATCTCTATGCAACTGTGGATCTCTATGTATCTTTATGGATCTCTGTAACTGTGGATCTCTATTATCTTTATGGATCTCCATGTAACTCTGTAGTCTGTAGCTGCCTCCACTGCCAACGGTCCTGGGCTTTGGCCAATCCCTTCTAACGGAGCTGCTTGGCTCCAAGGGGCCTCACCGACTGAGATCACAGAGCCCGAATCCCACCGCAGGGTCCCGTGTCCACCGTCGCTGCTGCTGCTGCTGCTGCTCACTCACCAGGCGCGTGTTGACCACGGGGAAGAGCAGTGCCAGGATCGCCCCGTTCAGCATGTGCAGGTGCAGTCTGCACCCGCCGGGACAAAAGCACAAAGATCCCTCGAGGCTCCACCGCGTGCAGCTTTGGCCAGGAGACGACACAGACGCCGGGTCCCCTTGGGGCATCCGGAACATGCTACCGCTTGGTGCTTTTCCCACGCCGTTTGGTAGTTTAATGGTGGAGGTACCACCAGGCCACTGGCACCCAGCCAGCGGCTTCCGCCACGAGCCACCGCGGTGGCCGCGAAACAGCCGATCAGCATCGGCCTCGCAGCCTCTCTCCCAGACACCCCGGCTGTCGTCATGTGACAGCACCGAAGTGGGCTGTTGTTTTACGCACAAGCCTGTCGCAGACTGTTGGGGCAAGTGCTGTTAGCGAACGCCTATTAAGGCCGGCACGGCACACGAGGGGTGGGTGGCCAGCACCACGCCCGGCCGGCTTTGTCTCTCCAGCAGCGCTGATGTTTACACGCCGCGCCAGGTACTCGTTTAAGGTCGAGTCGACCTAGGTGAGGCCCAGGACCGGTACAGTTATTATTAATCGATGTCTGCTGCGATCGGTAATTGAACTCAGGTCGGCATGTTTCGTAGCGCAGTGCGCTAACCGATGCGTCAATGACCCTCCCCCCACACACACACACGTACACACACGCACAAATACATGCACGCAACACGTGAACACATGCATTCCTCCCCCCAGGGTGCACGCAAAACATGATCTCATCCACATGCACGAATGCTCGTTCACTCACACACACACTGCAACATGCACAAAGCCATCCCTTCACTACAAGGAGCAGAATGAAAGTGTGTGTGTGTGTGCACACGCTCGTTTGTCAGATGTGTTGGGTGGATGTTTGTGTGATGGAGTGCGCGTGTGTGTGCGTGTGTGTGCGCGTGTGTGCTTGTGTGCGCGTGTGTGCGCGTGTGTCTCTGTGTGTGAAATGGAATTAAAGCGGCCGGGCGTGGTGTCGTCCACCCGCCTTTATAGGTGCTACATGAACAGCACTTGCCCCAACAGCCTGTCACAGGCTACACGGGGGATCTTTGCCTCTGAAGTGGAATGAAACAAGGCAGCAGTGTCCTCTGCCATTATTTCAACAAAACAAAATGTATGAAGGGCTCCTTTGTGCTTGACTGGGATTTGCAGGGGAAGTCCCTTGGCTTTCGAGACGACGCGCTTGGAATGCCTTCATCAGTCATTAACGCCTGCCAGGGCCACTTACGCGTGAAAGAATGCCCACCCCAAAAAAACACAGCCTCGACCAAGCTCCGCAACCTGCCCGCCTCCCGCTTCATTAGCGCCGATGGTATTCCGCCAGGCCGAATCGACCGGAAGTGGCGAAGTGCGGGTCAAACCAAAATAATTACGGCAATTTGTGACGGGCTGTCGCGCAGTACTCGCTCGCTCTCGGAACAAGAGACCGAGATGCGAACTGGGGCCAGAGCCGGCGCCGAAATATTTCCCAATTTTCGCGGTCCTCTACATATTAAGATGCTTTCGGCCAATTCAGTGTTTGCACCACAAACCCCTCGCAGACTTCACGCGGCGTGGGGAAGGCCTTCGTTCAGCAGTGGATTGACACAGGGCTCCAAACCGGTATTACAATAAGGTGCGATTATCATCTCATTTGTATTAATGTAGCGTCTAAATGTGACGATGCACACAGACGCAGTCGGAATATTTAGTTTACGAACACGACGTGGGATCTTATTGCGTGGCACGGCACGGGTGTGCGGCTCTCAGTGACGCGCGTGGCAATGTTGTTCGGGAGCTCGATGCCAATGCCGTGTCCTGCCTCTCGCCAAGACGAGAGGGCTTCAGCAGAGTTTGTTTCGTTTTGCCGTTGCTCCTCTTCCATTGAAAGAGCACGGTGGACTGCAGCCGTTTCAGCGCGTGGTGTGTGTGTGTGCGTGGCCACGTCGCGCATACGACGTGGATAGAGTTTGACGTCTGTATTCGCTCAGAGTAATCATCAGCCCCGTGTAATGAACCGGGCCTGGAAACTCATTAACAGGCGCACTCCGGTCAGAGAGTAAATTTTAACGAGGTGACCCGGGGTGGCTCGAAGGTCAGAGCACCAAGCCGCAGAGGTCACAAACGGGTTTTGATTCCTTACCCGTACCCGTACCCTGGCCGCACCAGGATCGCAAACGGGTACGGTACGGGTATCGGGTACCCGAATTGCGACCTCTGCCAAGCCGACACCGCTGAGAGTCTGGGTTCGAATCCGGTCTCAAGCTGCCTGCGATGAAACCGGGTTTCTCAAGCGGAGTGGCTCAAACTCGGCGTTGGGGACCCAACACGACCCCGCGCGTCTCAACACGGCCACTCACCTGAAGAGCACGATGGTCGTCTTGCATGGCGGCAGCGCCAAGAGTGCGATCTGAAACGAAACAAATCCGCAGAACAGACGCGGCTTAGATTGTGTCAGCACGATACTTGAACATTAACCAGGCACCCACCCATCACTGCTGCAGGTTTACACCAAACACACTCACAACACACAGACAGTTTGCAGCCCGCTGTCGATACACATTTTTTCATCATAATTCACCACGCTTGTAATTGCGACTTGGCGAATTGAGGAGGGGCACGCCCGGTTCAGATATTGCTCGCCGCCGGTGTTGGCCATGGCCAGGAATCAAACTGAGGCCACCAGGTTCACAGCAAGAGTCGTAATGGTCGTGATCCGCAGTGCCCTGCTAAGTGTTTCTCAGTCGTGTGTGATGATCGCTGTGCGTTTCTCAATTACGTAATGTGCCATGTGTCATCTTTCAACTTGGACAAATTTACACTGCCCCTCCTTTACCCCGTGCCCCCGTTACCCCGTGCCCCGTTACCCCATGCCCCGTTACCCCGTTACCCCGTGCCCCCGTTACCCCGCGTCCCCCGTTAACCTGTGCTTCCCCGTTATCGTACGGTTAATTCTGGGCTGCCACCCTCACCTTGGGACCCCAGAGTGATAGCGTTTCAGATTTAACCAAACCTGGACGATTAGATCAGAGTGGAATTTGATCTGGCGGGGCTTTTAGAAACCTCTCGCAATGCTGAGACATGCATTTGTAAACGTGCATGCGCGTGCGTGTGTGCATTTTGTGCGCGTGTGTCAGTGCGAACGTGAGCAGGAGCACCGCTCAGCACCGCTGCTGCGCTACGAAACCGGTGGTGCTCGCGACCGACCGCCATCGACGACAAACATCCGAGACGGTCTTGGGCCTCCTGTAGGTCGACTCAGCCTTATGTAAATACCTGGCGCGGTGTGTAAAACATCAGCGCTGGGGGGGGGGGGGTTGAGGGTGGGGGGTCGGTAGACATTCAAATGCGGTGTGGCACGACGCTGGCCACACGTGGCTCGCCGGCCCTCCCCTCCCCGAGGTGGCCGCTCGCTAACAGCACTCGCCCCAACGGCGCTGCGTAGGCTGTGCGAGGCAGCTCGCCTTCGCGGGTGTGGGTCGTGTGCTTTAGCCCGTGGGTTCTCCTGTCCGAAGCACGAACCCGCGGCGAGGGCGAAGCGCTCGCGCGGCGTTAATGGAACGAGTCGAGGCGGTTCCTCGGAGTGCACCGAGCGGAGCCGCCCGGGGGGGGGGGGGGGGGGGGGGCAAGGTGAGAGATTCCAGAGTGAAAAGGGAAGACGTTCGTTTATAAAACACACGGAACCCCCAAAAACTCACACATGTTACTCGCCTACGTAGATTTTGAATTTACCTAAAAGCAATAGATTACGACCCTAACGGCCGCAGTAGTCGTTTATATATTCGTCATAATCTGCAGCGTTGATCTATCCACTGCGGGATGAAGAGTGCGCCCCAGGCAGTGGTAACACTCGCTCGCGACTCACACCAAGAAAGGCCCGTGTTAGATTCCTGACTTGGGTGGCTGTGTGGAGTTATTTTATGTTCCTGTTCTGCATGGGTTAAAAACCATGACTATTTTAAAACATTTTATTTTTATTTTCACAGGTAAGGGCCGACTGAGCTATATAGCGCCTTACCAGAAGCGATCTGGCAACAAATGATAGCTCAAAGAAGTGGCTTATCACGTGGACATTTCTAAGCGGCAAAGGCTCTAAAAGCGCGTTTCTAAATGTGGGGGGAAAACCCGGAGGGCCCGAAGTAGAATCCACGCGACCACGAGGAGAGAGAGACCCTGCACATATACAGCAGCAGGCGTCAGGGTCGGGATCGAACCCACGACCTCCTGTATACCAGGCGAGGTAGTTAACATATCCTATCCACCGCGTTCGCTCCCGCGGTGTTTCCTCCGTTTTGCTAAAAAAAAAACCCACCCATGCAGCAATGTAACCAAGCATCGACCAAAACATCACAAATGCTGAAAAATTGCATTCAAATTACTTTATGCAGATTCGATATCGCAGCATTCCCCCCTTACTGCGATGCCTTGGCAGAGACCGTGATATGAAAGGGAAACTCAGCAAGGCTTTTCCTGGGCAAAAAAAGCATGAGAATAAACGAGGAGGATAAATCATTGCTCCATCTCGTGCTGGGCATCCTCCCTCGGGCGTCGTTCCCCAGCGGGGGACGCTAGCTCGTTCATCTCCAGAATCAGAATATTTATTTATAGCGCAGGAGGAGGAATCCGATGAGCTACAAAGTTATTTTTCACAGATGTCCAGTAGGGGCGGGTCGAAAAGTTACAACAACAAACAACACACAAACATAACAGGAGTGCAAAGCACAAGAAATGTAAACAAATTACCCAAACACAAACAAATACAATACTAAATCATCCCCATCCTACCAAAGAAAGCCCACCGAGGTATATCATTTATTTTTCAGAAGTGACCTGGCCACAAATGATAGCTCAACAAAGTGGTCCATCATTTGGACATTTATAGCAACAAAATAATCTAAACAATCTCAATGCATGGGGGGGGGGGGGGAGGGGGGCCGGAGGACCCGGAGAAAAAAAATCCACGCGACCACGGGGAGAACTTGCAAAGTCCAAATATACAGCAGGCATCAGGGTCGAGATCGAACCCCGGACCCTCCTGCTTACCAGGCAAGGAAGATAACATTTCACCGGTGGCCCTTTAAATAAATAAGGTACAAAGTTGATGATGATAAGAACCACGTGTTCTTCTCCCCCGGCTCTCGGTGCAATTCCAAGCGTTGGACATTCCCAATGATTCTTTGTGCGCATTTCCTCGGATGCAAAACGGTTCGTGGAATGTAATATGCCCCAGACAGCCTGGGACCCAAATCTCCCGGCGTACGCCCGATCCTGTCAGATCTCGGAAGCTAAGCAGGGGTGAGCCTGCATAGTGATTGGAGAGACAAGCGCCACTCACAATGGGCCATTCGCGAAAAACAGCTCATGGCCGATTCTTTCTTATCCACGTCAACAAATGTGGCGGTGCAGCAGCATCGTTTGTTGTACCGTATTTCTATGGTCCTACCACTATTATAATATTAATTTATGAATCACCTTTGCTCCCTGCCTTCCCTAACCCACGCAGACCCAGCGCGGAGTGCATGCACGTCGTCCTTGTATCACGCTCGTTTTATTATTAAGGCCAAGCTTTGTTAAATCCTCACGTGATCCCTTCCCATAATACCCACCCACCCACCCACTCGCCCGCCCACTCATCCACCCGGCTGGTCTGGATTCTGTAGCAGGAGTTGCTCCACTCCCCAGATTAGTGTTGGGGTTTAGAGGGTGGTGGTAGCGGATTTAATGGAGTCCTCTCCACGTCGGATCAGATTATTTTTTGTTAAATCCTTTATATTAAGTTCACTTGCTTGCTTGCTTGCGCGCTTACGACCGAGCAAATCTTTCGGTCGTTTTTTAACCCACTTCCCGTGATCCAATCGAGCTGACATTTTGCACACACTCGTTGTGCGTGACAATTTCTTTTCGTGAAATTTTTTTCTCCAAAATTTTACACTTTTTAGGTAAAAATAAATTATATTTAATTACCAGTTGCTTAATGGTGGCAGGCAATCATCTGACCCATAGGTGGCAGCCATCTCAAGCCAGAGGACGAGAGGACTCTAGCCGCCCGTTTCAAAGACCAATGTGGGCTGGGTTGTGGCCCACTGAACACGCATATAAAGAATTTATAGTGAAAAACTTTGTTTTTACGGGTTAATATTTTTCTACTCCTCGTTCTAGCAGCTGCCCCAGGTCGCACGCTAGGACACCGCACAAAAAACGATTTTAAATTCCGAGTGTGCACAGTTGGTGGGGGTGCAGGCCCATATTGGGGGGGGGCCTATGCAGAAATATTTTTTGTAACCCCCCACCACCCGCCTTTAATGTCTAAACTCCCGGCGAAGTGATATGGAAGAGCTGTGGCGAGATGACAAGCCGCTTGACAAGAGGTGGAGGTGCAGTGAGATGAGCGGTGAGAGATGCAAACGGGACGGAGATGCGGCGAGATGAGAGACGCAGCAGGCGACGAGGCGTTTCCCTCGCTTTGTTTATGCCTAGGGCAGTGTAAACACGCTTGCCATTAGCTGTGCGGGCTCCCCATAGGCCCCCCTCCCTCCACCCCCGTGGCTAAAAACCGGATCTGATTATGGGCTACTTCGCCTCGTATCCAACGGGAAGGGAGTTCACCCAAGTCCCTTAGGATCTGACCAACTCCCCTCTGGGAATTCCCTCCGGGGTCAATTCCTCATCGGTCTGTAGAGGTTTCGCAGTTTCGAATTCGCGATGTCCTCTTCTTCTTCTGCGGCCGTCTCATCGCCAACGCCGACAACGACAGCGGAGAACATCGAGCAGCGGCATCTCCCTGCGCGCCGGCGGGACGAGAGGGCCAGCCCTCCAGCGGAGGCATCGGCAAGAGACGCTCATCTCTCGCCGATGTCCGAGCCGTCGAGCGGGGTGATGCTTGCGCGACATCGCGCTTCGCCGTGGTCGCGAGGCTTCGAGATCTGAAGAGTTGGTGGGGCACATTCTGGGTGATTTGGTGACTGAATGGACAAGAGAGAGGGGAGGTTGTAAAATTAAACAGCCCCAGACCACCCTCTGACCCCATCAGACTTAAACGGGCGCTGGCCACAATGTGCACCGTGTCATCAACTTCGATTCTATGCTCACATTCTGCCGCTACCACCACCACCACCAAATATAAAAATCCCCCCTCCCCCCGTGTAGCCTTAACAGACTGTAGGGGCAAGTGCTGTTAGCGAGCACCTATGAAGGTTGGCACGGCACACGAGGGGGTGGGTGGACAGCACCACGCCCGGCCGCCTTTGTCTCCCCAGTGGCGATGTTTACACACCGCACCACCATCAGCACCGACGCCTTTCAGCCGCGTTTAATTCACTTCCTGTGCGTCACGCATGCGGCCGCTGCAACGACGAATTCCTCACAGCCCAGCAACACCGTGCAGCAGCAGCATCATCAGCATCATCATCA